TTTGTGGGGGCAGCTGAGAGCTGCTGTTGCAGCGAGTCTTGCCAGGGACGGCGAGCAGGCCGGGGGGCGTGTGGCCAGGCGCATCCTCACGCTGCCCACCCCTGCGGAGAGATGGGCGAGCTGCCATCCGCCGCCCCCACCCCGAGGAAGAGGTGGCCATGACCCTGGGGACGGCGGGTGAATAAACCCGACCCCACAGGCCGGCGAGTCGCTGCTGAAGCCCCGAACTGCACCCGCGCTCTCGCCAGATCTGGGTTGATAACCCCACGGGGGGGTCAGCTCTCACAGCCCTTTGGCAGAGCAATTTGCTGGCCCAAAGGCTGAGGGGGTCCCCAGGGCATGAGCCTCTCTTAAACTTTTAAATCTGTAGTTATCAGCAAAATGGACCCTAAAGGTGACCAGAGCTCGCTGGGATGCAGCTGGTGCTGCTCTAGAGAAGTGAAATACCTGGTGGCAGCGAGCAGGCGTGGGAGCCCAGACAGACTCTGCCTCTGGCCCTGGCTGCTCCCTGTGGGGTGTCACACCCCACCCACGGCCACCCCTGCACAGAGATAGGTCCGGCTGAGGGCGTTCAGCTCGGCACCCACCACAACCCCGGCTCTGCATGTGCTGACAAACACCCGAACCAGACAGGCCGCAACAAGGGGCCATGTTAAGCCACCTCCAGTCCATCCCACTGCGCCACAGGCCCTGGCCCTGCTGTGCCCTCCTGCCTCCGCTCCTCTTTGCCTGGAGACTCGAGTCTGTCCCCTCTAGCTGCACCTGAGGAAGCACCTGTCCCCTCTCTCTGAGCCCTAGCTTTAGACTCCAGCTGGGCAGCTCTAACTGGTTCCTGCATTATCTCTGCCCCAACTTTGTTCATTCCCCACCTTCCCACCCAGAAAGATGGTTTATAAACCCACATTACAAGCCTACTGACCCTGCCAGACCTCTTCCCACTGCAGATAGCGCCGTGCACCATACCACTCAGAAAATCCCTTCCCAGCTCTGCTCCGAGGTGCTGGGCTCTCCGGGTTCTTGTCTTCAAGACACACTGTGCTCACTGTGGGGAGCCCACGCTGTGTGTGGGGCTGGGGTCCTGGTGCTGCTCTTCAGAGTCAGGATCCTGGTGCTGGTTTTTGGGGCCATACCCTTTAGGTCTTGTCCCCATGAGGAGTAACAAGAGTCCCAGCCCCTGCCTCCCTGGCCCCACCAGCTCTACCCCTCAGCCTGGGTGTACCCCTGCAATGGTTGTGCCCATGGAGGGATCACAGAGGAGGACCAGGCTCATTTATCTTAGTATCCAATAAACAATTAATCTAAACATCTGATTAATGTAAATGACAGAGTGGGAAGGAAGGTATCACAGGCAGCAGTTCTGCAGCAGTGAGACCCAGCCAGGGGGCAACATCTTGAAGACAACATTGTTCTGCTGGAAAAAAAAAAGATGGCAAATGCAGAGACTTGGCATGTGCGGGATGTCTGTCAGGAGACTGAATTCTGCAGCTCCCTGGGAAGATGGGTTGTGCCCAGCGCGTTGTCAGGAGGCGTGATGCAGAGCCTGGAACAACAACGGCGTTTTTCACAAAGAATGGGACTCGCTCCTGAACCATCTGGGCACTTTTACAAAGATGCTTGTATTCACTAAAGTAGCTGCTACTTTGTCATGTATCCCACTCTGCATAAATTGTTCATCTGCCTCCGAGCTCCCCTTCTGAACCAGCTGAACTGTTAATGAAGAATGGGATCCTCAGCATTAGCAGGTGCTGCTTTCATCAGGAACAGAAGCTTCTGAGCCAGCTGAGCGGCTTAATGAAGAGAGCATTCATGCCACAGCAGCCACGGCTTTGTCGGGGATCCTCTCACCCATGCCACAGCTCGGCTATTAACTTTGTTCCTCAACCAAGCAAACAGTTTTGCTGAGGTTCCAGTTTTCGGCAGAGAAACTGCTTTTTTTAAAAAATAAAGTCCCTTGCTGAGGCAATGCAGGAGCCCCTTGACTGAGTTCATCCCCTTCCACTGCCTCAGACTCATCCCCAGAACAGGGAACATGACTGGAGCCAGACATCTGAGGGCAGCTACCTGAAAAGCTTTCAAACTACCTGAAAAGCTTTCCACTGAGCGTTTCAAAGGCTGGGATATGCCTTTATAAAAATACACTCTGTTCCCCAGCTTTGATTGACAAGAATGCAGTTTTGACGAGTAATGTCAGGGGTTTTTTTCTTTTCAATAATTAACACAGTAAATCCTACAAATTCTCTGTATTTGGATTCTCAGTTACTTGCAGTTTTGAGCTCAAAAATCCAAAATGCAGCTTTCTAAATGTATATTTAAAGTGAATTCTTAGATGTATTTGTCTGCCGGTAGGTTAAAGTTCACCGAGTTTGTGTCTTGGAGCCCTGGGAGGATGTCCCAGGGTTGTCTCTGCCTCTCAGGGGAGGAGCAGCGTACCCCCACCCTGAGGATGGCACCTGCATTACAGACCGTTCCAAAGCAGCCAGCATGCAGCAGGAGAAGGGGCTGCGGAGCCACCCCTGAGAAACCCTGCCCAGGTGCCCTCAGGATGCTCTTCGCCTCTGCTGCAGGGCAGAGACCGAGCTCTGGCCATTTCATGCTGAGTGAGGCTGCACCAGTCCCACCAATGCCACCAGAAACTAAGTTCCATCTGTTTCATGCTGACTAAAGCTGCACCAATGCCATCAGTGCCACCAGAAACCAAGTTCCATCCGTCTCATGCTGACTGAGGCTGCACCAGTGCCACCGTGCCTGGCTCATCCCTGCTGTGGCTCCTGGGCTGCCTCTGGCTCTGGGTCGAATATGCTTGTTTTTAACCAGCACAGTCAGGCCTAAGTATCTCTGACATATTTCAAAGTATAAACAGCCAATTAGGTGTCTTACTTTGCATTTATTTGGTGCAATAGTAGATGGTGCATTGACAAAGCTAATGCTGACCCAGCCTGGTGTGTTAGGGTGATGTTTGGAGAGTCCTCAGCTGTCTGAATATTTGTCAACAGAAGCAAAGATGCGGTAACTGCTTTATACTCAAAAGTAATGCATTGGTCTTTACCTGTCCCAGCTATTCCAAGAGAAAATATCATGTGTTATCTATTTATCATCTATAATTCATATATTTATCATCCATAATTTTATCATCCATATGTTTATCATCAAGGAGACCAGCTGCTGCTGCTGCAGGATGCCCGAGTGCCTGGTGCCGGGGTTCAGCCGGGAACCTCAGCTTAACCAGCAGTCACACTCTGACCTGGCACAGTGGTAAAGGACAACTGTTCATCCTTAAATTACACTAATATTTGTAAGTAATAACTACTTATTGTGCTCAAGATGACAAAATATGGACCTCTGCTTTAACTGGCATTTCTTGTTTAATTGCAGCTTGTTCTGTTTAGGTACTTTCTGCATTTTCTTCAGCCAGAGCTGGGAAATGAGGCTGTCAGCTTCGCTTGCTCTTCATCAGGTACCTGAATCTGAGATCATATAAAAGCAATGGTTCTTATCATCTGAGCTCCAACACTAACCCAGCACCATCCAGATGAGATGTCAGAACGTGGCTCAGCTCACAGGGTGCACACACAATTTCAATGGCCAACAGTTCTGCCAGCATTATCGTTATCCTTCTAAATCAGGCGAGCTCACCATCCCCAGTCTGCTTTCCCAGGCTATCTGCAGCATGAAGTGGGCAGCCGTTCACCAGTTCACACTTGCTCTTAGTTTTCTACACACTGAGAAGAGATAGAAACCAAAGACCAAATTATCTATTATCCCTTAATTACTGATTATAAGTTTTGGAAAAGAAGATTTAAACTCTTTTGGAAAGAGGCCCACCTAGCTATTGCAACGAGCCCATGGCCTGTCTTGAGTTCCTTACATCTATGTGGCCTGAATCTGGAATAAATGCTTGTCTATTCTTCATACAGTACTTTTCTACAATAATAAATCATTATAAACACTATGGTAACCAACGCAGGACCCATCACTGGCTTTAGGCCAGTGTTTTAGAAGTGCATGCTGGTTACAGATGGGAGATCTTTCCAGGGGATGCAGACAAGGGAGTGTTCCACCATCAGTTAATGTTTGTGGAGTGTGGAAGCCCTTGAGCTAGTGTTCGTACATCCTCCATCTTCAGCCGAGCACAATGGCCATGGGAAACATTTGGACCATCAACTGAGTTACCTCCTCCAGCAAAATTAGGTCAGTAAGTTCTAGTTATTGAGGCTCAGATGATGTCCCTCTGACACATCTAATGCAGCTGCAGTGGTGGGGCTGACTGGGGAAGAGATGTGCTGTACCAACACGCAACCCCCTGAGGCTTATTTCTCCCATATTTCTCCCAGCACAGGGGGAAGGAGGATGGTGTGCCCCATATGTATTAGCATGTGTGTCTTTGGTCCCATTATTATTTCTATATAACCTGGTATTATTTCTAGCAGCACCATCTGACAGGAAGGGGCTGCTGTTCTCAGACGGGGCTTCATGTGTCACAAGAGACGATCATCTCCCCCCACGCTCCTGGAGGGTGTTTCATGCCGAGCTGAAAAGAAAAGGAGGCAAAGAAAGGTGAGTGAAGGAGGAGACTCAAGATGAGAGAAAAAGAGAAGAAAAGGGGATGAGGGAGGAGAAAAGGGCGGTGAGGATGACAGTCAGCTGTAAGAGGGCCAGGAGTGAAAGAAGGGGCTGGAACTGTCCCGGCAACCACCCCACATATACCCACAGGGGAACAGGCTGTAGCATCCAGCCTCCTGACTCCCAGGCATTTAAAATTTTAGCCATAATTTGCAATTGTAACCAGAGGATAAAATTTCAGCCTGTTAGGAGGAGGTGGGAACCTGCAGGGTGATGCACATTAATTACTGCTGACATACAGGGACAGGCTCATTAGACAGAGGTTTCCTTCAGTTCTAGCACACAATTTTTGGCTTGAGGCAGGTATTGCAGGGAGTAATTATAGACCCTGTGCTGCTAGGTGGGTCACAGTCATTGGCCACAGAGACCTTTTCACTCCTCCTTGAGCTGCAGGGATGCAGAGCAGCTCCCAGGGTGGGGAAGGTGCTGCAAAGAGCCTGGTGAGGAGCAGCAGCAAAGCTCAGAGCTCTCTGCAGCCCCATGTATGGTGGATTTGGTGCAGGTCGTCCCTCCAGGTCACCTGTGGCAACAATGATGGAGAAAGAAGGGGACAGGGGGTCCTGTGCTCAGGGACCACCATCTGGGCTACAGTCTGGGGAGAACCCTGCTCAGCCTCCGTTCTGAGCAGTGGGATTTATTACCAAAGAGCCTCTGCTCTGCAGGACCACCAACGAGCCCCCATAACCAGCCTGGTTTACAGCAATGTAACTTCCAACACTAGCAACGCTTAAAAGTCTCCATCTGATGTCACACCTTGTAACACGCTGCTCTCCGGCACAGCCTGTCGCCCCACAAAGGAGCATCTCCTGAGGGCATTTGTGGCCACACTCCCCAGCAAACAAGGCTGAATTTCTACCAAGGGCGTTTCTCCCGGCTGGAGGATGCTGCCTGGGATGGAGTCTTCTTGCAGCAGATGCAGTCTGTGCTGCTGCATCTCATTCCTTATCTTCCATCAGCATTGCTGCGGGCCTGAACCTCCCTGTGGGACCCCCCACCCAGCTCTCTGAGCCCCCTTGAGCCCTGACATGTCTCCCACTCTTGCTTCTGTTTGCATCTAGTGGGGCTTGAGTCTTCCAGGAAAATGGTTTCCCCCCTTCATGAGGCGGAGCCTGTACCTTTTATGAAGTTCCATGTGGGTTTAAAGTTTCCAGCCTTTTTTTTCTGTCCTAAAGATCCTTTTTAGGCTTTTCATGCCTGGGTTTCTTCACTTTCCTTAGGGAGCTCTTCATGGCCGAGCCCCATGTGGCAGGGAGCTCGCTGCCCACTCTCAACATTGCGCCCACGGCACCACCCTGGCGGAGAGAGACAGCACAAGGAGTGACTGTTCAAGTCGGCAATTCATGGCAAACTATTGCTTTGACTTCTTTCCCTGCTTGCATACTTAACCCTAAGCATGTCAGAAAAAGCATTGTTCTGAGTGCTCGCGGCAGACTCCAGATTGTAGGCACCGCACTTGCAACTGGCTAGACAGGGCACGCAGGATTTTCTCCTGTTTCTGAGTCACTGGTTTGGCAGACATTTGCATCACCAGTCCTTAAAAGTGCAAATACAACTTTCAGTCTCCTTGGGTACTCACGAGGTAACACTGAAAAACGCTCTTGGCAGTTTTTTGCTAGCAAGATACGCTCTGGTTTATATTTAGGGAATACAAATACGGAATAGTTCTGAATTCAGCCCAGAAATCCATGTAAAATATTCCTATAATTCTATTTACAGATTGTTTCTGTGAATGTTGTAACAGGCAGAGGTAAGGGTATCTCTGTCTCTGGGGACTCTGTACTGTGAACAGGGGGTCCATAAAAACACATTGCTGGGGTCCCGTGTCCCCACCAACACACCCAGTGACATTTTGCCATGACCCCCCACTGTGCATCATGGTCAGTGCCTGTGATTCCTTTGATGATTCTTGTGATATTTAGTCGTATTTTTCTCAAAGTTCTGCCTCTTGTTCTCCATGACTAAGAAGTAATCACAGTCTCTGTCAACAAAAAAAAAAAAATCCCTTCTGATTGCAAAAGAAGACTTGCAATTGTGAGGCATATGGACCAGAGGGTGCTCAGCGGGGGTCAGAAACAAAACAGCAGGAAAAGCAGTCCTGGGTTTTTTTTCCCTCCATCTCAGGCTTTGCCCCCCTGGCTCCTGCTTTTCAGGCATGAGGTCTTGTATTTGCTAATGTCCCTGACGTGAGTGCAAGAATTTCAGTGTAAGTAACTACTTAATTTTCAAGGACACCTGGGGGACTTGGGCACACAAGCCAACAAGCATTGGGCACCTTAACTCTGTTCAGTTCTGCTGAAGCCCCATCTATTATATGCCTGTGGAAACCTGATCTGTGCAGGGCTCCCATCCTGCCACCTCCCCAGGGCTGAGACCTGGACCAGAACCAGCTCCCTGGGTGTTAACAGTCACTGAGAGGCAGCAGAGGAGCCCTCACAACACCAGAGCCAGTGTTCAACTAGCCAAATCGAGCTGGAAGGTGCCAAGTATGGGAGGACCCAGGCACTGCAGGAATTTGGGTGGCATTTCATTGCAGAGGAAGGTGGTAATAACTTAGAGCAGCTGCCGAGGGCAGGCATGTGGGGATCACCCAGGGTTGGTTTTAGGAGCTGCAGGTCTGGGTCTGGAGCCAAGATGAGCAGGAGAAGCCAAGCGTGTGGTTCTGGGTCCCGCTGCACGTGGTGTGACGGGTGAGATGTCAGTGAGCGAGGGTGGCACCGGGAAACGGGGGCAGGGCTTGGAGGGGCCAGGTGTCAGGTATGATTCTTCTCACCTTAATCAGACAGGCCACCCCATAGCGAGACATTTGATCAGCCCTTGACAAAAAAAACCACACCCACAATTGCTTGAACTCCCTGTTTTTTCCAAACCACAGAAGAGCAGCCGCAGGTGCTACTGCTGCTGCCATGGGCCCCATCTGCGGGCAGGCTGCCAGCCATGTCTGAGCTGACCCCAGCTCCAAGCTGTGCACAGAGTGCAGCCAAGCTGGCTTATTTCCTACAGAACAAAACATGGCTCATCCTCTGGGGTTAATTCAAGCTTGCTCCCCAGCCTCTGCGAGGGTATGGCAAGACAGAAGCCTTTGGGAACCTTCCTAAAATATCTCTTTCCTTGAGGAAGCAGGGAGGTGTGCTGCCCCAAGGTAGAGTGAGGCTGCTCAGCAGCAGCCTGACCGTATTAATAGCAAATAGCTGAGTGCTCTGCTCCAGCCGCTCCTCCTCACAGCATCAGGTTTGACAAGCATCAGAATTAACTTGGTTTTAATCCAAACTACTCATCGCATTTTTGCTTTGAACACTGCCTCATTCTTCCGGTGGCAGGCGGAGGGGCTGTCACTTACGCTGTCATACAGGCCCCCTGTATGGTTGAACCCCATGAGCGTTCCAGCCCAGGGAGCTGCCCCGCAGGCAGTGCAGGATGGCTGCAGAGCCTGAGGGGGATGGAGCAAGGGACAGGCGGGAGGACCTGTCTGTCCGGCCGACGTCACTGTACCGCTTTGGCTGCAGGAGTATTTCTGCAGCTCTTCCATGAAACGGGGCTGGAGACTCTTCCTTTCCATCTGTAAAACCTCTTCAGAACCTTGGTGGGAAGAGGACGTCTGCTCCTGCAGCTTCCACATGCTGCTGGATGACTCCACAGATAAATGTGGAATGACAACTGCATGTCCTGCCTGCAGGTCCCATCCTGCGGGTCCCATCCTGCGGGTCCCATCCTGTGGGTCCCATCCTGTAGGTCCCATCCTGTGGGTCCCGTCCTGTGGGTCATGTCCTGTGGGTCCCATCCCACAGTTCATGTCCTGCAGGTCCCATCCTGCCATCCACAGTCAGGCCAAAATGCGCCTTGATGCTGCCACAATGCCGCCGGGCTGTCTGCGGAGCACGGTGATATCCCAACGCCGAGGGGGAGAATCAAATGCTCTGTTAGTATTTTTCCAAAGGAAGGAGGAATGGGTGAAGCTCCATAACTGAAACACACATTGCACAGATCCGCGAGGCTTTAAAACAATATTTGTCAAGGGAAGGGTGGGGAGGGAGCTAGTCCACCTCTGGCACCTTCCAAAACAACCAGCGCTGGGGCACTGTTTAAAGAAAATGCATGTGTGTGATGAGTGTTTCAGGCAACGGGCACTGCTTTTCCTAACTTGCTTTTATTTTTCTCTTAAGTGTGTTCAAAATCACTTTCTTCAAAATGTTTCTAGTAGAACCCTGTTGTCTGAAAAAAATGGACTCTCGAGGTGCTTCTACACTAAAAATTCAACAGCCTGTGTTGTGAATTTACTGCTTATTATCTTCATTTTATATACAGATTTTTTAGCAGTTATAGCTGCAAGAGAACTGCAAAGATAATTTGGGCGTTTGCAGACACGTCATTAGGATGTCAGCGGTAGCAGATAATCCCTTGCATTCCTGGGGTTTGTGCCTTTACTGCACATTTCGGGTGGAAAGAGATAAAGAGATTTGTGATGGCTGTTCAGGGCCACCTGGAAAGGCTGCAAATGCACCCAGACACCACTGCCCCTCTCGACGTTCTTCAGACGTTCTGTCATTTTGATGACACGAAGGTATTTGACCATTTCAGAGTGCACAGCAAGCCGGGCTAACAAACCTCAGGCTGGGCCAGCCAGCCCAGGCTCTGGATGATGCAGCCAGCCAGCTCTGCCAGTGTTCCAGTTTTCTTCATTCTGCCCTCTGGAAAACACAGTGTCCGTGGAGCTGGCGTTCGTTAGAGCCTAACAAGGTGATTCCAGTATGTTAGTCCACAGCCTCCAGTCTGTCCGAGTTACTTCATACTGCTTCTATTGATAAGACCCTGGAAAATCAATGTAACAATGATGTCCCTTTGTTATTCAGTAAATTGCCTTTTCTCCACAAAACGGATCCTTTTTACAGGTTAATGAATTATAAGGGAAAAGATGCATTTCAAAGGATTTTACTCAGAGGAGAGGAAGGGGGGAGGATGAAAGCTCACGCAGTCTCATGGAGCTGCAGCAGGGCTGTTCTCTGGGCGCTACAGCAGTGGCTCTAGGTAACAAATTAAACCTTCCTTTCCACTTTAGGAAACCCTAGGGTTTTTCCTTCTGCTTTGTTTGGATTTTTTTTTCTCTTTGTGTAAAGTTACCCTTTTATTTAGAGTCAATATGAAATTCTCTCGTCCCTGCAGATTTCTGAATGCTGTCGGGAGTCAGAGATTTTGCCAAGTTGCAGAAAAGAAATTTAAAAGTAGGTATTGTGTATAGGAACTGTAAGTAGCTTCCATAAGAAAAAAATGCCCTAATGGAAGCATATTTAGGAAAGCAATTGGTATCTGTATTAACTTGTTTCTGAAATGCTGTTATCACAGCATTGCCCCGCTCTTTAGGTTCACAATACAGAGAGCTTTCCTCTTCCCCTGGGGTCTGCTTCACAACGAAACCAGTAGGGGCCACATCCTGGCTCTAGCACTCTGGTGCTGGGGGACGTGGGTTCTTCAGGCCTGAGACAGCCCCCAAAGGCTGCAGCTCTTTTCTGGACTTTATTAAGGGGAATAAAGAGGATCTGAGCACTTGGGGAGTTGTGGCTGCCCAGGGATCAGCAGTGTCCACCCAATTGCATTTAGCGTGAGCAGAAGAGGATGGTCCAGCCCAGAACGTCAACATGGATGCATTGACAGATACACCCCATGCTCTGAAGATATTACTTTATGTAGAATTGTAGTAAGAATGTCATTCTGTGCTAAGGCAAACCTTCATAAAAATGGAAGTGTATTACATTTACACAGCAGTATTTAATATGGTATTAAATACACCTACTAAACATATTTATTAAATGAGCACCTTCATTAACTGTAGTTATATTTTTATATACTTGATGCTTCTAATGAGTTGAATTAAGAACAAAGAGACTTGAGAAGAAATCAGAGAGAAAAATCTGGCTGAAAGCTAACACTCTAGAAAGGAGCTTGCTAGGCAGTCGATAACCCCCACTCTGCAATCAGGAGCAAAGTATTTCTGAGTAAAAAGGTATTCTTGCCATGAGTACGTGCTTAGAAATTAAAACCCAACACCTGGACAATGAGAAACAGGGAAGCGGACATGAGCTGGTCAATTAAAAATTGTAAACTGTACAAAGTTGATGAAGAGAAAAAAGCCATGGGATGGGAAGGATCAGAAACTACCGGGTGACCTGTGTGTTCATTGGGAGCAGCTGGGTAACAACGTGTTGGACCACAGCTCCCCTGACACAGCGAGACAGTTGAGTTTCATGCATGGAAAGCAGACAGGGCAGTGGGTGCTGTCTCTTCTGAGTGACAAATTCATGTTTCCAATCTATTGGCAACCAGGGAGGATGTAAAATATCCACAGTCAGGAACACCTGAATCTGAAAAGAGTTGGTTGACCCAATGCTGTCAAGTCTGAATACCAGGGAAAATCCAAAAGAAAGAAAGCCAAGTGTGGATGCTGTGCTGATATTCAACCAGACCAGCAGGTTTCTAGACAGGAAAGCTAATGGAAAAATTGAGACAGAATTAAGGGACAAAAATATAATTATTGCCAATACAGTTTTATAGACAGTAGATTCTGCCAAATAATTGTTTTCATCCCTTGATAAGATACAATTAAGTGAAGTTGTGCAGATGTGCTATAATATGGGGTTTGTAAAGAGGAGCATCATCTCGAGGTCCAGGCTGAGGCAGTGCTGGCCAGCTGGCAGGTCTGTGCTGTGACCGCAGCACAGCGCCGTTACTGCGCGGTGCTGCTTCCGGAGGGGCTCGCCAGGGCCTGGTAGTAATTTTTTTTAATCAGCAAATTGTTAGCAAACGCAGGATCACTGCTGATAAAACATATGGATGATTAACAGCCTGGCAGGACAGTCACTAACAAGGAATTGCAGATGAGGCACACAGTGCTCTGAAACGCTCCGCTCATCCAAACGGAGAGTATTTTATATGGCTGAGAATAAAATTGGACACGTGAGCACAAGATCCACTGGCCGT